ATATATGATTCTGTAAATTTCAAAAACATTCAAGAATATATAAAACTTCAGTTTCTGCTCAGTCATCCAGATAGATTTCACAATAGAATATCACATCACATGTGGTTTATCATCCACACACAAAAAAAAAATGCACCTTGATCCTTTAAAATTGAGCAAACTGCAGCAATAACCTGCTGAACTTCACGCTGAAAAACAGCTGAGGTCATATGACAGAACCCACGTGACGTTCAACGCATAGAGCCCGCCCCCTTTATTCTATTGGACGATGCTGGCCCTCTTCGAATTCTGATTGGTCGAATGGCGCAGCAGTCTTTCCGCACCTCCCAGTTTTTATTTAATGAGTGTTTTTGGGGTGACATAAAATATTCGGAGTCATGTTTTGTGAGAGTGAAGCTTGAATCTTTTTATGCATCTTTTTTTTTCTAAAGTACTTGTTGAAACAATGAAGCTTTTGTTTGTTGTAGCTGTTTTTCTGTGGGATTCTAGTGGTAAGAACGGGTTTTTTATTTTTATTTCTCCGTAGCACGTTTTCAGTCATTCATATTGTGGCAATGAAGCCTCAGGTTTCTGAGCTTTAAATCTTTGTTTATTTACAGGCACAGAGGGAAAATCAGTCCACACTCTTCCTGACTTTGGAAACACTTATCACGTCAAAGGTAAGCAGCTGTAACAGAGCATGACAGTGATGTTTTCTGGTTGGGCTCAGCTGTCTCATTATTTTTGCAGGAGTCATCTCTTTGCCCTATGCTGAGATTGTGGAGCCATTTGAAGGCTGGTTCGACCTGAAAGCAAAATCCAGCAGAATAGACTATTACAATGGTAGGAACCCACAGGACACACTGCTCTTACGCCTCTCTGTTTTACATTAATGCTCTGATTTGTGAGATTCAGAACTGATGTTCTGGTGTCAGAGAAGTGCAACATCATCGTAGAAACAGGAAGTCATTAAGAAAAGATGAAGCAGACAACTTGAGCTGATAAACACAATCCTTTTTGTTTTCCAACAATTTTAATGAAGAAAAAAAAAAACAATCTCTATAAACTTGACATTAAAGAAATAATTTTCGATGTGGTAACATAATGCTTATCTTTCAGTAGAACCAGATTCTTCATCAGCTGAAATGTGAGCTATAATGTACAGCTGATAAGTTTACTCAGTGCAGAATGTGAAAGCAAACCCAGGATTAGTTGAACCTTGCTTTCACAATCTTTAGAGCAAAATAAGGAACAGAAATTGAACTAAATATGTTATTGATGACAGCGCAGAATGTGACAGCCCCGAGTCTTATTGTTACGTTTCATACCCATTCAAAAGGAGGATAAAAATGTTCAGCTGTATATCTTATGCAGAGAAAAGTTGGTTAAACAAAGCATAAATGTTACTTTACCTCTGCATATCCTGAGTTTTTAATTGTCATTAACGTTGACCTTTAACATCCCTCTTTGTGGTTCTCAACAGGCCAGGTTTCCACCTACCAGCTGGGGTCGCAGCAGCAGTTTGGTGTGGCTTATAAAATCAGCCCAGAGACCACAGAGGAGGAACAAAATGTGATCAAATGCTTCCAGATTAATGGAACCAAGGAGGAAGTGGTCTCACCTCAGGCATCGCTGCCTGATGTTCAGGGCTTCCAGGTCTGTTGTCTGACAATAACTTTGCTTTAAAATCACCTTATTTATTTGTTATTTTATTAATTTAGGTTTTAAAGCTTTTTTTATTGCCTATCAAGTGTCTAAAAAGTTTAAGTTATGATCAAAGTTGTTTAATAATTTAATTTATTTCTAGATAAATCCCATTTCACATTAGTTTTATACTGCACAATGTTTTATTTTAACCTGTACAAACCACTGAATGACTTTCTGGTACCACCATTCTGCATAGACTCACCTGCAGTGGTGGGCACAGTTCCCCTAAAGCAGTAATAGGAGAACTAATTTCCTTATTAGTGCTTTAGGGCTTTTGTTAATTTTAAAATTTATTAGTGGTTTAGCACTTGTTAAATTTATAGGCCAAATTTAGAAGCACTACCTGAGGTCTATAAATGTTTTTGATCAACATCAAACAGCTGAGGGTGAAAGCTGTTGCACATTTTGTTCTTATGTGTCCCTTATCCACTAGGTGACAATATATGAACCCAAATACAGCTGAGGAATGTCAATGATGAGTCTTAAGAGAGCAACATGGCGATATGTGACTCATGTTGTCTGTTGAAGAACATTAATGGGTTGACTGGGTTATTTTAGTGCTTCCGAATTAGCTTTTGCTAAAATTTTCAGTGTGTTAGCACTTTAGAATTAGGGGACCTAAAGTGTTTTAGGGCTAGTGTAACCTGACAATGGTAGGGGAAGCACTGCACCTGTAAAAGAACAAGTATTATTATCTCTAGTATTATGGTCAATGTTGGTGTTAAAGCAGCTTATTTTGAGACGTTAATACAGGGCTATTCAACTAAATTGCTCTCAATTACTCAAAACCAACAACTCAGGGGCAGGACAAGTATTATCTTTCACCTTTTTAATTGGTTTGTTTTGTTGATCTTCACATGTATCAAAAGTTCACCCATAGCAGAAACGTGTTTAAACAGAGGCTCTTCCCTTTTACCTCTGTAGTTCCTGAAGATGGATTATTATGGTGGTTCTCTGTGTGAAGTCTGGCAGAACGTGACCACTGTGGGTAACAAGAAGAACACCTACACACTGTGGGTGGCTAACCCAGAAAAAGGTGGGGCAACATCTACAGCCATTCCCATTCATTATGAGATGATGGGATACAACACGCTGTTGATGTCCCACTATGACAAGTACCTGGTGGACTACAAAGAGTTCAGCCAACGTCTGGATCCCAAAGTCTTCTCTCTGCCTGAAGGTTTGTGTGCTAGCCATAAAAAGTACCTTTTAGAATAATTAAACTAAGATAAACGTTATTGTTTTTCTCACCTTTAGGGATGACCTGTGGAGGTTTTCCCGGTCCAGGCGTGGAGCACCACATGTTGGCCAACCCGATGAAGGATCTGATCCACACCACAGCGTCAGGTCACCCGCAGAAGATGTTCGGCCACTTCAAGGAGAAGTTTCAGCGTCGGTACAGTGACGAGAGGGAACACGAGGAGAGGGAGCACGCGTTCCTTCACAATCTCCGGTGAGGAACGCGACTGTCGCTACGATTTTTAAAACGTTTTCAAGAGCGTCTGACGAGCTCGGCGTTTTGCTTCAGGTACGTCCACTCTAAGAACAGAGCTGGTCTGTCCTTCGCTCTGGCCCTGAACTCCTTGTCCGATCGCACCATGTCAGAACTGGCAACTATGAGAGGAAGCAAAAGAGGCAAGACGCCAAACAAAGGCCTCCCATTCCCATCCAGACTCTACGAGGGGGTGAAAGTACCTGAGTCCCTCGACTGGAGGTTGTATGGTACGTGTTGGTCCTAAACCGTTCACCAGAGGTTCATCAGTCTGGTGGAACATCCTAACTTGATTTACTCTTTTAGGAGCTGTGACTCCAGTGAAGGACCAGGCCATCTGTGGATCCTGCTGGAGCTTTGCCACCACTGGATCAGTAGAGGGCGCTCTCTTCCTAAAGGTGCATTAATTAGAAAGCAGCTTGCAGCACAGTCGGTGGCCCAATTCCAGTGGTTCCCAGTGATGGGGCTCATTTTTATTCTCTTTGAAGATGTTCAGCGTGGCGCCTCGTCTTTTCATCTTCAGCTTGATTTTTTTTATTGCACTTACGCTTTATGTAAATATACATTTCCTTTTTTAAAATAATGAGTTTAATGACAAAAAAGTTGGGCTAAATCTATAAAAACAAAAGAGCCTGTTGTGTTAAAGGATCATTAAAAACATACTTGACTTACAGGGGTTAGACAATGAAAGTGAAACACCTGTCATTTTAGTGTGGGAGGTTTCATGGCTAAACTGGACCAGCCTGGTGGCCAATCTTCATTAATTGCACATTACACCAGTAAGAGCAGAGTGTGAAGCTTCAATTAGCAGGGTAAAAGCATGGTTTGGCTCAAAATATTGCAACGCACACACCATTATGGGTGACATACCAGAGTTCAAAAGAGGACAAATTGTTGGTTCACGTCTTGCTGGTGCATCTGTGACCAAGACAGCAAGTCTTTGTGATGTATCAAGAGCCATGGTATCCAGGGTAATGTCAGCATGCCACCAAGAAAGATGAATCACATCCAACAGGATTAACTGTGGACACAAGAGGAAGATGTCTGAAAGGGATGTTGTGGTCTAAAACCAGGTGTTTCAGTATATTCCTGACAGCAGCAGTAGCTTACAGCCTTGCTTTGCTCGTTAAGTTTAGTGAAAACCTTTCAGCCCAGATCTGTCTGTAGCTCTTTAGCAACATTCAAACTAAGTGAAGCATCCCTGCAAGCAAAGCCCACCTTTTTAGAACCGGGTCAGGTCCAGTCACTGTTCACATTTCAGCACATATTAGACAGACGTGACGGTGAGTGTGAGCAAACGAAGCCTGGGCCTGCCTCCATCGCACAGAAGGCCCAGCTCAAAGGCATTCCTGCTCTCGCGTCTCCTAGAAACTGATCCAAACATAGGAACGGTTTTTTATGGGATTTGATGGCACCCCGTCGCAGCGACCAAATTCTTTGCCTCTTTTTTTTTTGAACCCTCAGGACTCTTAAAAAATTGTCTTTTTTTCTGCTAGTTTGTGTGACTGGTTCAAATCCAGATGTGGAAGAAGTTCAGCAGTGTTGTATAAAGTACCACAAAGTGATACTTGAGTAAAAGTACAAGGATCGTACCAAAAAATTACTTTTTTAAAAGTTCAAGTCTCCTTTAGGGATATTAGTTGAGTAAAAGTCTTAAAGTATCTGGTATTTTTGTACTTAAGTATTAAAAAGTAAAAGTATTGATTTAAAATGAGCAGTTAGATTTTCTGTAATGACATTTATTAGGAGGTGACCTCCACGAAAAATGCAGAAATGCCTATATTGTATTAAAATAATAAATTTATGTTAAATTTAGGATGCACTAGTCTAGCTGTTTATATATGTATATCAAGGCTGCCCAAACATTTTCTCCAAAATGAAAATCTGAGGGCTGAGACCAAATCTAATAATATAATTCATGAAATACAAATACTTCTTAAGTACAGTCCTTTTATTTTAATGATTATGTCCTGCTGGAGGGTGACATGATTTGTCTGTGTAAAAAGTAATAAGGTATCAGAATTTTATATATTTATACTTCTCATTCAATCACAATTAAATTCACTCTATCTAGGAGGCACAGTTTATATGGATAGTATTTATTTTTTGCAATAACAAGCTGGAATGAAAACAAGCAAAAAGGAAATAAAAGTAACGACTTTCTACTTATTTTTTTTAAAAAATGTAAGAAGTAGAAAGTACAGATAATTGTGTGAAAATGTAAGAAGTAGAAGTAAGAAGTAGTCTGAAAAATAATTACTCAAGTAAAGTACAGATACTCGTACAGTAGCAACATATTTGTACTAAGTTACTTTACAACTCAGAAGTTCAGTAGTAATACTAAAGTATAAAACAGATTTAAAGTTTCACCATATTATTGAAATTTAATGATTTATCCATTTGGTGATGCCTTTAGGTGTTTTCTGTTTCAGTATTTTTAGTTCGGTAATGGATTTGAGTGAAAAGCTGCAGATGCAGAGTTGTTCTGTGAGTTTGGAGCTGTTCTCCACTGACTGCAGGGACAGTTTGTTTTGGCCAAGAGAAAGTCTCGTTGTGAGGCCCCAGCAGTTCCTTTCTGTCCATCTGCCAGAATGTGGCGCCGCAGCGGGGGAGCGACCTGCACTAATCTGTGACCTTGGTCTCTGCAGGCAGGTTCTCAGACACGGCCCCTACCCGAGTTGTTGGATCATGTCATGTAGCACTCTCCGGTCTGATGTGAAAACTTTCATTCTCTTCAGTGGACTGGTCCTCATAAAGTCACCACATTTAGTTTCTTCAACTATCAAGTCAAGGTCGTAAAGGACAAAAAATACAGGTCCTTCTCAAAAGATTAGCATATTGTGATAAAGTTCATTATTTTCTGTAATGTACTGATAAACATTAAACTTTCATATATTTTAGATTCATTGCACACCAACTGAAGTAGTTCAAGCCTTTTATTGTTTTAATATTGATGATTTTGGCAAAAAAGTAAAGAAAAACCAAAAATCATTATCTCAAAAAATTAGCATATTTCATCCGACCAATAAAAGTGTTTTTAATACAAAAAAGTCAACCTTCAAATAATTATGTTCAGTTATGCACTCAATACTTGGGAATCATTTTGCAGAAATGACTGCTTCAATG